ATGTCCATACCTTGGATGTTCAGTGGTTGCAGTGGAGGATGTTTGTGCCTGCGGAAGTCTACCACCAGCTCCTTGGTTTTACTAGTGTCGATCTGAAGGTAGTTCAGCTGGCACCAGTCCGCAAAGTCTTGGGTCAGTTCTCTGTACTCGTTGTCATCGCCATCAGTGATGAGGCCGACTATTGCAGAGTCATCAGAGAACTTCTGCAGGAAGCACTGGGTGGAGTTGTGGGAGAAGTCTGCAGTGTAGATGGTGAAGAGGAACGGAGCCAGAACCGTTCCCTGTGGGGCCCCTGTGCTCCAGACGACCCTGTCCGACACACAGCCCTGAGTTCTCACATACTGTGGTCGGTCAGTGAGGTAGTCCAGAATCCATGTAGTTAGGTGATGGTCCACTGCTGAGTTCTCCAGCTTGTCCTTCAGGACCGTGGAAAGTATGGTGTTGAAGGCACTGGAGAAATCAAAGAACATCATTCTCACAGTGCTCCCAGCGGTCTCCAGGTGAGAGAGGGAACGATGTAGGTGGATGACGGCATCATCTGCTCTAATGCCAGGTTGGTAGGCAAACTGAAGTAAGTCCAGTGATGAGCTCACCAGGCGCCGAAGCTGAGCTAGGACCAGCCGCTCCAGGGTCTTCATCAGGTGGGATGTCAGAGTCACTGGCCACTAGCAGTTGAGGTCCTTGGGGCGTGAAGTCTTTGGCACTGGTACAACACAGGTTTTCCAGAGTATTTTGGTAAGTTCAAGGGGGCCGAATACTTTTGCAAACCACTGTATATGTGACACATTGTGGTTAATTGGGTGAATAGATTTATATTTGTCCAACCAACTGTATAACATTCTTTTACATTTTCTTTCTTTTTGTATTTCTGGGTACTGATTTTTCCTCATTCATACCAAGGCATTATGTGTTACATGTGAATCATTTCTTAACTGTTTATTCTATATTTGTCATTGGGCTGTCCTAAAAATACCCTGAAAAGTTTTCAGTTCTATATCACCACTGTAAGATTCGGGAGAGGCACCATTTAATGGATTTTTAAAAAATACTTTCCAGTGTGTTTGGTGTTTAACATTTATTTTGAAATGTTACCTCCTCTCCTGTTTATTTTAGTTAATTTTCACCCAGAAGAATCTATAAAATATACCTTTTTGTCACTCTGCTTTGAGGCAGTCAGCATTCTCTGTGAAATCTTCAATTCAACTGAATACCATCCCTGATACCATTAAGTATTCCAGCTTTTATACCACCTTTAAAACAGATTAGGATATGATATTTAAAAGTAGAATAGGAGGGAGAGCCTTCAGCTTTCAAGCCCCTCTTCTGTGGAACCACCCCCTGGGGGCTTCCCATGATGAGTGTTTTTTCTTAACTCACCTTTTTCACTGACCATGTGTTTATATACCACTACACATTTAATCATGAGTTGTTATTAATATCTACCTCTCTGCAACAGTGTGTCTTTTGTTTTGTCTTCCTCTAATCTGAGATTGTATGTTTCACTGAAACTTTTCAAAGTATTTCTGACATGTTAAAACAACTGCTGGGGACCCAGAGTTAAACAGCTCGAACTACTTGAGGATCTGGGCATAGACACAGTTGTCACAAGTGAATGGGCCAAGTTTGAGAACCTTGTCAGTCTATTTGAACCCTTTACCATTTATGCAGACAGCCTTCAGAATGACAGCCAGTCTCACAAGTAGTGCTGTCTGTTCAACCTTGAGGCAAATAAACTGATTAATCGGTTTAGCAATCTGTTAGCTGAAGTGCTGCTTTTTGAGAGTAAGAGAGTAAGATTTGCTGATATTCTTAATCCTGATTTTACATAATTTGATGTTGCACAATCTAGAGCCTGGCTGTTGGACTCAAATGTTTCACTGATTCTTCAATAATCAGATAAAATGTCGCTGATAAGAGCAGGACAGCCCTTGGTACAGACTCCCAGTCCATCCTCATCCCTCCATTGGAGGGGATGACATCAAATATCTGAAATCTCTGGTGATATGTAAATACAAAAATTGCCAAGCCCTATGTCCAGTGTGAGTGGATGAATGAGCTGCCAACTGAAAACTTGTGAGCCTTTAAATACCAAAGTCTACACTTTGCCTGGTTAACCCACAGCTGTTTGGGTGTGCCACAGTTATTTCTTCATAACAATTTTATATGGCTGGTAAAGACTTATATTTAGATATTTAACCTCTTTCTTTCCTTGAAAAGTTCCTTATTTTTTTGTAACTCCAAAGCTTACATGTTACATGTTTGTTTACTTTTTCATTTTTCTCAAACATATTTTACCACATTTTTCCTTTGAGACAAGTTGTTTCTGTCTTTTCTGCCTTAACAACCGCAATTTAAAATTTTGTTGAATATGTCATTACCCAATGCTTCGATCAAAGTAACACACTTTATTATAGGTGGATTTGACACAGTTAAAAGACCTATTGCTGTTGGTGTGGTTATGCTGATAACCTATCTACTTGCTGTTATTGCCAATGTGCTAAATATTCTCTTCATCATTTTTGACAAGAGATTGCATAAACCAATGTATATTCTGATTTGCAACCTTGCTGTTGTTGATATACTGTACTGCTGCAGTACCACTCCCACAATGATTGGGGTTCTACTTGCTGGTGTTAATACCATATCCTATGTTGAGTGTTTCATTCAAATGTCTGTTTTCCACTTAGTAGGAGTGATGGAGTTGTTTGCTTTAGCAATTATGGCATTTGATAGATTCATTGCTTTTTCTTTTCCTTTTCAGTACCACAGTTATTTAACAAATACACGTACTCTTGGTCTTACATACATTCTGTGGGTTGTTGCCTCTGGTTTTGTTGCTGTTATGCCAGTAACTGCAGCTACACTTCCTTACTGTACCTCAAGGATGAAGTACGCTTTCTGTGACTATGCTGCTGTAATACGCACCACTTGTGTTGATCCTAATTACTATTTCAATTTAGTCTCAGTCATGATGTTTTTTCTTTTATTTTTCACTTTTTCTTTCATTGGCCTTTCATATTTTGTGATTGCATTCTTAATGAAATTTTCATCAAATAGAGATAAAAAGAAAATGGCAAGCACCTGCGTGACTCACTTGATTGTAGTAACATGTTATTATTCTCCTTTATTTGTTCTCATTGTCTTCACCAGAGTGGGTGTGGTATTAACACTTGAGGAACGTCAGGGTTTATTGATTGGGACCATCCTTAGTCCATCTCTTGTAAATCCTGTTGTGTACTGTTTCAGGACAAAGGAAATTAAAAATAAGATCTTTACGATGTTCACAAAAAGGCTGACATATCCAACTAGATTCTTATGAACTGTGACTGTACAAATAAAAGATGCATAATTTTTTAGTCCAAATACTGTGCTGAAATGATGACATTACTATTTTGACTGTCTCTAAGTATGTCTCCCCCTCATTAATCAACCAATTATGCAAAGAAAACAAAGGTTAAAAAATACATTTTTGTGCTGTATTTGGAAGTCTTAAACTTTCTATGCGCCTTTTTGGCTGAAGAATTGTAAAATCTTATTATTTTTGTAACTATCATAACAATATTTACTATTCGCTGTTAATAAGTGGTAGGGATGTTAAAAGTAGCAAAAAACAAACAAAAACAAAGCCACACACGCACAAAAACACTACAATGCACATAAAACTGCATTAATTGCAAATTGTATATAAATCAAAGTATAAGTAAATATCCAGCAGAAAAATGCTTTTCATTACTGTTCCATGGATTAATTTTACTGCTGCAAATGTTTAAACTTGAGCTCATTCTAAATATGTCATATTCTGTTGAATCTACAGTAATACATTATGTTATGTAAAAATCATATGTTTGTAGTTTGGCTGTTAATGAGCTCTAATGCAAAGGCCTAGATCTAGGCCTAGGGCTTTAATATACACGAAAAAAAAAAGTATATTAAATATCTTCATAAAATAAAATAAAAATCAGAGCTGAATAATTGGCAATTGACAAAGCATCAATAACGAACTTTTTAATTCATTTTCTTTTATGATTTCTTACCTGTATAACTATTTTCCTAGTATGCAATCTGATATTTGATAAAATATTAACTTCATCAGTTTTTTTTTCAAAATGAACAGCACTGTATTATATATTTTTATATTATATTTAAACTTTTCTTTTAATCAAGAAAATATATTAAATAATGTATAAATGGCTTAAAACATTATGTTTCATGTAAAATTGACATTAATAATATTTTTGCACCAGGGATGGTTAAACTTGTTGGAGTTTGATTTTTTTGTGATTAATATACTCAGTCTTATGTGAAAAGTATTTTGTTTCATGGTCAAACACTTACGTGATTATATTTCAACATTTTTGAAAAATAAATTGGCAGTCTGTGTCCAGTTTCATTTTAGTCTTTCTTGATACCTCATCATCATAATTCCTACACAACAAGTTAACACCAATGTATATGTATAACAGTGCAATTCACAAGCTTATGTTACAGTCTGATATGTATATAACTGAGTAATAACTGAGTGACAACCGTTATAATCAGTTATTTTTGTCTTTTTAAAATCATGGTGTTATTATTGCAAAATGACTAGCTGTTACCTAACAAATTTAATGTTTAATAATGGGTAGTCATTGAGTCACTCAAAACCTTTCTAGAGGTTTAGCACTTGGAAAAAATATTGCCCTTCCTTTTTAGTCAGATTTATATTTGTCACACATGTTTCAGATCATAAAAGAAATATTAATATTAGACAATAGATAACCTGGATAAAAAATGGAAGGCACTTTTTAAATTATATTTTTAATTTACAAATGAAAAAGAAACACTAACTCCCCTTTTTGAAAAAGTGATTGCCTGTAATACCTATACCTGATAACTAATAACTGGTAGTGTTACCCTTGGCAACAAGAACTGCAAAAACATATTCACAATAACTGGCAATGAGTCTTTCACAGTTTATTGAAGCAATTTTGGCCAACTCTTATTTGTTTTGATTTAGCCACATTGGAGGGATTTCCAACATGAACAGTCTGTTATAGGTCATACCAAAGCATTTCAATCCGATTTTTAACACATTTTATTAATTTATATATATATATATATATGTATTCTGACTTTTTTTTATTTATTTTTTTTTTTATTTAGAATTGGTGTTATGGCCCGTCTAGGCGCGGCCAGACCACAACATAAAAGGCGGTCCACCCCTACATGCTCCTACATTAAACCAACATAGTTAAACAGTGAACACACGGTCTGCTGGTTGGGTTGGGCCGAGGATGAATGACCTGTCAGTCCCTGGCAGTGTCTTCTTATGCGCTGCCTCCCGGTCATTAGCCAATCCGTACGATCCATCCACCCTGGATGCACCAATCATGGAGGAGCACCTGCACACTTAAATTTACATATTAAAATTACGACAACAGTCGTAACAGTTGGACTTGGTGAGGGAATCTTGATGTCAAGTACTACTAGGGGGAAACAGTGAACAGGAATGCACACACAGAGAGAAAACATGACAAAATACATAGGGAGAATCAGACAATGTATACATACACGGATAATAAGGGAACAGGCAACAGAGAGAAACAAGGCCGAAACTAATAACAGACTAAAGAGACGGGGGAAGAAAAATGGAACTGAGAGGAAACAGAATGAGAGACTGTCAAAGTAAAACAGGAAATGACTAACACTGAGACCAGAACAAAGACATACGAGCTTGATACAAAGACAGAAGATAACAAAACACAGAGACAAGACTGAACAAATAGGGAATACAAAAAGGGATAGTCAACCTCCCTTTTACTTAATGCCCAGATAAGTGAAACATAACCATAACACCCTAACAAAACCTATAATGTCAACAATACAGAACTATAATACAAAGATAATCAAAAGTTTAATAAAAAATCCTAAACCTCCAAATATCAAAACACTGAGGTTTTTTTTGGAAAACAATTTTCAGGCTGTTTATATTTACGTTACCGGCCTCCAATTTGCTCTTAATACCTTTTTGTCTTTTTTTTTTTTTTTAACCATTCATCTCTCTCTTCTGTTTTGTGCTTCAAAAAAATGAAGCTGCCGCCTTACAGAGACAATGTTAAACTTAGGAAACTAGGAGATTTTCTCCTAGAGCTGTTGGTTGCTAAGGACGAAGCCTACCTCCCAGGCCTCGCTTACCTTGACACACCATGTGGGGTTAAGCCCATAGTGTAAAAGCTGCCTCCAAGCTTACAAGATAAATGGCGCCACACTGGTTCAAAATACAAACAAAAATATAATGTGACATTCCCTCCATTCTCATACTTTGTAAAGTTTGTCCAAGAGAAGGCAAAAGAAACAAGTTTTGTGTCATGCAGCAGCCAAGATGGCCGACTTCTCAATGACCACCATGGTCACCACCCATCTTGAGGAGTTTGCCCCCTCAGGACTTTAATATCACCAACCATTCCCATTTTATGACGGTGTATCCATATAAATGGCCCACCCTGTACATTTCCAGTCGCAGAAAATATGGGGTTCGAGTTGGTGATGTTTGTGTTTATAATCACTGATGGAGCATTTAGTATTAACAGTTGTTTAATCAGTTAGACTCTGTAATTTATCCATTTATCCTTTAAATTATTTAACTTCCTTTTATACTGAGCCATAGGATGTATTCTATTCTTACATATGTCATGTGGGTTGTTGGCTTTGTTCCCCTCTTCCTTACTGCACGTCAAGAATGAAGTACATGTTCCATGATTAATAAAAATCACTTCTTTTATTGTTCAGTCACTGATTTTAGTTGTTTGCTTTAATCACAATTATGTCCCAGTTCTGTGGTTGAGGTTCTAGTTTCTAATTGCAGGTTTTTGCTCCTCTCTCTGCTAAACTGCATTCATGTGCCCTTGCACATTAAATCACAGTAACATCTACAGTTTATTTCTGGCCTGACAGAGCCTCTGCAGTTTGGTGCATTGTTTATAAACTGAGTATTACATTTATTCCCCGACACAGCAAGATGAAGATTTGTTGGAAAACTGTTAGTCTTGGGGAGGGAATCGAGATAACAAGTACTACCAGGGGGAAACAGTGAGCAGGAATGCACACACAAGGGGAAAACATGACAAAGAACAGAGGGAGAATAAGACACGGGATAATAAGGGAACAGGCAACAGACAGAAACAAGGCTGAAACTGTCATGGTTCTGGGACTTTTTCACCCAGCATTTTCTATTTCTAGTATTTTGGTGTTTTTCTATATTATGATTTATGCTCTGATTCTTTAGTTGTGCTGTTTTGATTGTTATTCTAGGTTTAGTTAAATGTCAAGTTTGCGTCATTGTGATTTGTTTCTTGTTTCCTGTTTTATTTTGATAGTCCCAGTCCTATGTCAGTGTATTCAGTTTTATTTCCCCCTGTCTCGTTAGCCCTAATTTCTCCCAGCTGTGTCTCCCTCCTGTTCCCCATTCCCTGATTACTCCACTGTGTATATAAGTCCTGTGTTATGCTTTGCTCTCTGTCGTGTCATACTCTCTACATGCTGGTTGTTTGTCATGTTCCAGTGGTTCTGTTCTGAGTATTGTTTTTTGTAAGAGTTACTTATAAGGAGATTTTTCCAGCATTAAAGCTGTGTTTTGAGTTCCAGTCCCATCTCTGAGAGTCATGCATTTTGGGTCTGTCTGATTATAATATTATTTTATGCCATGTTAGACCCCTAATTAAAGATTGTGAATTATTATGTAGTTTTAGTTTGCATTATTCTCCTGAATTAGAAGAAGGTGATAACTATTACATTTGGTAAACTGATTTGCATTACATTAGACTGTTGATTTATTGTGAATGAATGATATTGTTTTATGATGCATTATACTGCTGAGTTATAAGAAATACTGTTTGCAGAAAGTCATCGCCTTATTTGTCTGGTTAGAAGAGAACAGAGCATACTGCCCCATCTCAGCAGGAGCAGATAAACAGGGAGCCAAGGTCGTAGCTTAGGCGCTGTGTGTGAGAAAGAATGTGAATGTTTAGGCTTTTATGATTAGGTGGGGGCCACTAGAGGCTATAAGAGTTTGATCAAGGCTCCACCATTTTGAGATCTGATGCTGTCTGCTGTATGGTGTCCATCTCCCACGCGTGTGTTCATTAAATCATCGTTTGACTTGACCCGGCCGGACCAGACGGTTATTTTTGGTTTTCCTCCTGTATCCATCCTCAATATTTGAATCCGTAACAGGTCCTTTTTTCCTCCTTGTCTACCACACAGCCTATCATGACAGAAACTAATAACAGATAAAAGAGACAGCGAAGGCTAAATGGAACTCAGCGGACACAGAATGACTAA